CAGCGGACCCTGGCCTGGCTGGGAGAGAGCCACTGCCGTGGGGCCAGCGGAGGCCTGATCACCCCCGACAGCCGTCCCAGGCAGGACAGGCCAAGGGTCCTGGCCCGAGGTCCAGGCCAGCAGACATCCTCAGCCCCAAACATATCCTCCCCAGGAAGAGAAGCCAAGAACACTCCAATGTCCCCTGATTTCTGTCTGTGCCCCTGGCCGCCACAGACCCTAGCCACACCGGAGGGACCCAGGGGCCCTGGAGAGCCAGGGGCATCAGTGGCACGTCCAGGGGCAGATGGAGGAAGAGCAGGCAGAGCAAGGGCCTGACATCTGGGGAGGGCCATCCAGGGCGTGTCACACGGCCTGGGACACCCCGTGGAGGCACCTCAGACAGAGGTCCACCTGTCTGCCCTAGGCTGCCCCGCGCACTTGATCCAGAGAGGCAGGGTAGGCCAGGCAGGGCAGGAAACCGCCACCGAAAGCCCTCGCCTGGGCTGGCAGCCCGTGCTCTTGGCTGGCTGGCAGGGTCCAAGGACTCCCTCCTCGGCCTGCCCATCTGCAAAACGGGGCCTCGGGCTCCATTGGGGCCGCGTGGGCTGACAGCAGCCAGGCTGGCCGCCACGGAGACGCCCTTGGGTGGCTGGGAGGCCAGGATCAAAGGCATGCAGGCTGGCGGGGGGCCTGCCCTGGCAACCACCACACCCCTCTAAATCCTGGGGCCCCTGGGGTCAGCTCTAAGACCCCTCAGAAGACCCTCAGCCAAAGAAGGCAGAGGCCCAGGGCTGGGAAGGTGCAGGCATCTCAGGCTGTGGCCAGAGGGCCTCTTGAGGATAGGCACATCCCATGCCAGAGGCCACAGGGGTGCTGGCTACACAGCAGTGGCGGGGGGCGGGGGGGGCGCCACCAGGAAGAACAAGAGCGCGGGGTGGGGGGGGCAGCCGGTTCCCACCAGGGTGTCCACTGGGCAGCAGGTAACCCCGAGTGCCTCCCCCCCTCCCCAAGTTAGGGCTCACACCTCATGGCAGCAGGGCTTCAAAGGGTTCAGGGAGCCTTGCTTTGAATCCTCCTCCCTCCCCAACCCCTTCCCACGCCTGGCTGGGGGCAAGGCGGAGAACGGGGTGGGGAGTGGGGTGTCGGGGCCAATTCCTACCTTATCAAGATGGGAAGGGGGCCGGGACCGAGTGCAGGATGGTGCCGGGTGAGTCCAAGCCCCCACGTGCGCCCTGCCCCAGCGTACCTTGGGGGAGCCGGGCAGCCCCTCGCTGTTGGCCACTGTGGCGTTGGGGGACTCGGTGTGCTGGCTAGGCTGCCGTGGCCTCTTGGGCTCCCGCCGGGCCACGATGCCCCCAAGGAGCACGAGCTGCGGCCAGAGGAGGACCGCGGCGGCGGCCCAGGCCCAGCGCATGGCT